CCAGCCTTAGAAAAGAAAATACAGATGCTAAAGAATAGGACTTGAGGAAATGAGAAGGAAAAAACAAAACAAAACAAACAAACAAACAAAAACCCGGGGATCTGCAAGATCTTTACTAAGCCCAAGTTGAGCTCTACTCCTCAGTCAGCCTAGTGCTAATGAGCAATGGAGGGTGAGGGACAGCACGGAGCAGGGGGCACCAAGGAAGGAGAGCATGGTTGAGAACCAGAAAGAGCCTTGGGAAAGCACGGAGAGGAAAAGCTGATGTCTCCAGAGCAAGACGCCCTTCCTAATCAAGCAGCACCTCTGACCGCTCCGTCACAAACAATCTAAGGCTCCGTGTTCTATCTGTATTCCCAGCTTTCCTTTCCAGAGGCTCGACTGGGGTCACTTCAGTCAGCTGAGGGAGACACTACAGTTACAGGGGGATGAAGAGGTGTGGTAAGGAAAACGAACCTTTAACACCCGTGACACTGTGCGGTTGGAAGGGTTAGTCAAAGAGCAAAATCAAAAAGCAACTGCTAGGCAATGGACTGGCAGAGGATTTACAAAGCTTTCTGGACCCCATACTTCCAGGGAGTATGTGCTAAGGTCAAGACCTCTGCAGCACCCTGAAAGGGGGAGGACTTCCAGGGGTATCTTCATTTATTCCCGATGGGGTGGGAATAAGACCTGTTCTAGCCTTGGACTGGATACTAGTTCATGTCCGTTCTCTGAAGGAGTGGTCTCTGTGGTCTCTGCGGAGCTGCCTGGGCATATCCAGCACACGAATGCCAAGCTCCCGGCATTCTCTGCTGTTCTCACACAAGAGACTTGAGCTTCCTATCTACCTCATCGTAAATAAAGCTAATTATATCCACGGTGTTCACTGCATAGGATACAAACCCAAATGGGCACAGTCACAAATGTGGGCCATAACTTTTTAGCTGGTTGACAAAGCCAGCCACTAAAATAAGCTAAAGCCAGGTCCCATCATTCGTATCAGTTCCATTAAACTCTTCTAAGAGACTCCTAATTTTGAGGCAATTGGAGCCTGAGATAGCCTTAGGTCACAGCCAAGAGCAGCTTGTAAGGCAAATGATCCTGTATGGTGATGGCACTCCACCCGTTAGTATTGTACTTATGAAAGCTTATTGACCTAGAATGGAAATACTTACTACCTGTCATCAATCCTTTCATTTCCATGCAATTATTTACTTCCCAAACAATCCTACCGACGAATTGCACCCAAATGCAAAGCTAGCCACACCAAAAGATTTTTATCCTAATGAAAAACGTAAGCAAAAACATATGTCATGAAATCACATATAAAGCTACATTTATTAACAAATTCATTTCCTAATAAAATACCATCTGCAAGCTACCCTCAGTTTCCACTTGATATAAATAGGTCTTTTACTGTTTTCAGATGCAGTTCCCAGAAAACTCTTCTAAGCTCAACTGCAGAACACATCAGTCTTTTTGGGGGGAGGGCGGGGTTGCATGGAATGTTAGTAAATTCTGTAAAACTAAGTTTTTAAACGAGTTAGTTTGTTCCAAACGCATGCTTCAATTGAAAAGCTGACCTTTTGCAATAAAGTCGGTTAGACTCCTAGAATTCTTATCATTGATACAGAAATTCTAAGAGGCAAGGAAATGTTTCGAGGATGGGCCATAATTAAAATTTCCCCACTCTACACACAAGCAAACGTGGGCACACGCACATGCTCATTCCATTTCAGTAACAGTTCATGTCTCTCAACTCACAAGTATATTCGTATCGTAGAATGCTGTTTTCTGGTCATTCAGCCCCCGCCCCCCCCCCTCCCAAATGCACTTCACTAACACACGGGCCGGCCTCTCTCACTAAAGCCAGGGACAGAGTGGGGAATACTCACAGAGACCCCGTGACTGCTCTCTGGACAAGTCCTTTTAGCAATAACTCCAAGGAATAATGCTACCACTCATCAATGATGGCTACTTTGACTGGGGACCCAGAACCCAATGCCTAGACCTCTCGGCGCCAGGGACTGGGGCTGATTTCTCATGCTAAGTGCTTTTGAAGAGTGCATCAAGATTTGATAGGGTGAATTTCCCGACTTGGTCAGAGTTTCAGCCACATAAACTCCATTAGGTGCAAAGCTCCATAACGCTCCACCCTGTCTATATTTATGCCCACGTTTTAATCTACACCCTTGTAAGCTCCCGGGCAGGCTGTGGGACCTCTCGCTTCCTTTCGGCCTATCCTCAGTTTTCCCATTACCCTTGAAGGCAGTATGTTCTCCTGACTTTAGGGCCCTAAGCTTCTGTCCCACCCCTTTTTCAAATCCTTCCTGGAGACCCAGATTTTAAGATAAGTACTCTCTCCACTGATCTCTCATCATGACTTTACTGCACTTGACCCATTTTTTTGTACAAGGCTCTACCAAAGTCTATCTGTACCATCACCAAAGGCTGCGTGCACACAGGAGGCTCCTTGGATCATCATCTCCAGAGTTGAAGACAGCTCAGATCCTCTTTGGAAATGTACCACTCACTGGTGTGCCAGAGCATTGAGAAAAAAAAAAAAAAAAGCATGAAGTCGTTTCTGAATCTGGGTCAGCCATATTGTGAATGTACAAGAGAGAGAATTACAACGGAGTGAATCTCACTGGGTCTGTGACCTGTCACTCGGCTAACAAGGTATGGACGCAGGCTGACAGACCTCTTGATGGGCCAGTGCCATTCCCAGACCAGCCCTGAGTGCCATAGACACCAGCGCAAGAGAAGGGACAAGAATGATATCCCAGCCTCTCATTATACTCCTCTCTCGAGGCAGGCTTCTGTTTGGATTTTTAAGCATTACAATCCCATATGAAGTCATCCAGTGGAAATTAGGAGGATTTCCAAACAACTGTGCAGGAGAAGAGCAGACTAAGACACAGGCAGATGGGGTACCATTCAAGAGATATAATTGATGATGGATTTTCTAGCATTTGTTTACCTTGGTTCATGTTAGTTGATTAACACCATGGCTTAGAAAATGTACTCGAGTAACCATTTTTGAACTTCATTCATTCAACAAACATTTATTAAGTATCTACTATGTGCCGGCATTTGCTAGGCGCTCAGGATACAGAGAAGAAGGACACGTTCCTTGCTCTCCAGGAGCTCACAGTCTAATAGAGGAGACAGACACATACACAAGTGACTACAGTACATGAAGTAAGTGCCAGTCAAGGTGTACATAAGGCGCTAGAGGAGCCCGGAGGAAGCAGTCTGCAGTAAGCCTGGTGGAGTCAGGGAAGCTTTCACAGAGAAAGGGACAATCGAGGAAACTTGAAGGAGGAACAGGACTTCACCAAAAGACAAGGGAGGGTAGGGAAAGAGGTTCTAGGATGAGAGAATGGCAGGCACAAAAGCAAGGAAGCATGATAACGCATGACATGACGGGGAACCACAGGTAGCTCCACGTGGCTGGAACTTCATCTGCATGTGAAGAAATGGTGAAATGGGAAGTCAGAGAAGGAGCATGGAATCAGAGTGAAGAGCTTTGTATGCGGGGCTAAGAAATCTGGACCTTGTCCGGGAAGCAATGAGACGGCACGGAAGAATCCAAAGCAGGGAGTGACATGGCTGGATCTGCCCATTAGGTCAGCCCGGATGGAGGATGGTTTGGAAGAGAGGTGAGACCAGAGGGAGGGAGAGCAGAGAGAAGGGGCCATCATAGGGGCCCACGGGCGCTCCGAAGGCGGGGAGGGTAGAGAGGTGACAGGCTGGAGAGATACTTAGGAGGAAGCTTGACAAGACTCGATGAATGATGATACAAGAAGCAAAACCACCTCAGAGATGAAACGATATGAAAAGCATGCATTCCGAAAATACAACCGACAGCCCTGCTCCTCCCTCCCTTCATGGTCCCATCGTCCTTCGCCATCACCGTGTCCGCTGAGTACGAGTAACGAATAATGAGTAACGGTGAGAGAGCCAGAGGTGAACATGGTCAGACTTCTCTAATTCAGACACCACTAACTTGGAATCTGTAACAATTCACACTGACTGTCTGTGCCTCCTATTGAGTAAGAATTTCAACCTACTTTCTTCCTCTGTGTCTTTTCAAGCCTTTAGGCACCAGTAACAGGAATCCAATCTAAAAGCAGTGGCTTCTTCCAATCAAGCACTGGAGGTGCAGTAGGCAGCCGCTTACATGGTGGTATCTGAGGGGCACCCAATACATGTCCCCCACCCAGGAGCCATAAGGCCTGGGATCCAATCATTAGCGATTCACTCCTTTGGGAGAGGCTTGGGTCCCTCCAACTTCTCTTTTATAAGGCAATGATTCCTGAGATGGGTAGGACATTTAGTCATTCTAAACCCAGTGGGATTGTGGTTGAGCACAATGCCTTTGGCTTTGACAGAAGGGATCAAGGTAGTCTAAGAGGGTTATGGAGGTATCTGTGGAAGACCACGGTACAGAAGGGAAGATTGAGAGATGCAGAAGATAATGTTAGGATCTTGCCAAGGAATGGCCCTGCAAGCATTCAAGAAACTAAGATTCTTAAAGAATGCCTTCCACTTCCAATGCCAGCAAATCACACTTTTACATTCTTGTACCTTAAGGAGCTTCTGTGTTTTATGCTTATGAGATGCTATTTGCTAGTGAAGGCCTATGGTGACTCCCAATCTTTTCCTGGACCTCACACTGCTTACGACCAATTAAAATCTCCAGTGTTATTTAATTTGTATATATGACTAAAAGTGCACTCCCTGAAACTATTTTCTAAGTGCAACTTTTCATTCACTCAGACTGACCTTGTCTGTTGCCATTCCACGTTATGGAGATTTAACTGTATTTGCAGAATGGTAATCAGTCAAGTCACAAGCGACAGAAGATCGAGACTCAGACTCTGACCTTGAAGTATCTCATCTATGGCTCAAGAAGGTAAATAAGAGCTGCTTGTGAATACTTGATTATAAAGGTTAGAGCAGTGAACTAAAAAAATAAAAAAAAAAAACAAAACAAAACTTTAAAAATTACTTACTTCACTTGTTTGGAGAATCGTGAACTTTGGCAGTTTAGGCTTTGAACTGGCTGCACTGGGTTTTCCATCCAAGAGTGATCCAAATGACAGATTCCCAAAGCTGTTCTCAAATTCAATGGAAGGTTTCAGTGTCGGAGGGACATCCAGTGCCTGGTCCTGGCCATCCATGGGTCTGACATACGCAGTTGGCTTTTGCTGCCCCATGTTTGTTTTGCAGTAAAGCCCTGGTGGAAAGTTCTGAACCGAAAGGCCACTGCTGGGAGCTAACAAAGAGGAGGCAACTAGGGGAGACCCAGGAGCTTGTACTGTAAATTCAGATTCTTCTGGTGAGATGGACTGGAAGATTTCCTTGAACGTATCCCCTGCACTGGACTTGAGACTACTGTCTTCTTTTGCAGAAGCGTCTGACTCTTCAACGGCTCCAACCTGGGGCTGTTCAGCTGGGTAGACAAAGAAGTCTTCCAGTCGGGCTGGGGGCTGGTCCTGTGTAGACGGCGGCAGCTTGTTTGGCTGACCACTGGCCTGGCTGGCTGGGACAACACTAGCGTTATGACTATCGCGTGGCCAGTCAGCTTTTGATTTCCTGTTGCTGTGTATGAGAGTGGAATTCAGTATCACGACGGAAGGTGGAGGCATTGGTGCCGAGGGGTGAGTGCTATCCTGGTGAGGTGGGAGCATTCGGTTCTTTTGTTCTGGGAAAAAGCTCGGTTCGTTTTTGTTGATGGGAGTCTGGGGCACGGAATTCTTTGGGATCCCCACTAGATGATTCTGATTAGAATGGTTAGTTAGCAAATCCTTCATTTCATCATAGTTTCCCAGCGTGTTCTGGACTCGGTTGGCAAGTGCATCCCCTTTGTTTGTCTAAAATAACAAAAAGATGGGGGTGGGAGGAGAGAGAATGAATAGGTTTGTGTTTCCTAATGTTAATGTTTCAAACAGATGTCCTAAGTAGACTAGCATATAGGGTTCTTTAAAATTCTCATGCTGCCATATAATTTCATACTTTTCATGTGCTATGTAGGAAAAAAAAATCAATAACACTATTGAAAGAGCCTCTTGGAATGAGCTGTGTGATTAACGTCTGTATACTCCCTGGCCTGCCCTTAAACATGCTCATTGGGGGAAAGTTTTAAATTACGTCACTTATGAATTTTATTAGCAAAGTAACTTATTTTAGGTCAGATGAGCTGAACAGTTACACTCCATATTGTGATGAACAACTTCAGCTTAGTGATCACTGGAATTGTAATGGAACGTTCGACTTATATTTGTTTTTGACACGTCAGCCCTTTGCGCCACATTATACCATGAAAAAGGCTTAGCCCATTGGATCAGGAAGTCAGTGAAATTGTGCAATCATGAATATATTGGTTTAGAAAAGCTCAACATCTAATTGAGCTAACATGACTAAAGCGAATCTAATTCCTTTTAATCAAAGGACTGTATAAATTACTGGTGTCTGCCCACATATTCTGGGGGCAACTGTGTCTACGTATTGATGATTCATACTTGTTTACTTTGAAATGGTGCAATTGTTCATCAACACTGACTCAAGCTCTCCTGTGTCTTTTCAATGATTTAGAAAAATTTATTCAAGAATTTTAAACTGTTGCTTACATAAATCAAAACAAAGCCAGATTTCCAAAGTGATGTTGGCAACTAAATCATTCTATGGACAATCAACAGACCAGCTATATCATCCCCTGTAGGAAATACTAATCTTGTTAAAAATGGCTGTGGTTGTTCTTCAAATAATTAAGTTGCTGCACGGGTTTCTGTAATACAGAAAGCACGGCTTTCATAACTAGAAAATGGTGGGTAGCTTATATGCTCGGAAAGGACTTTGATGAAAGCTCAGCTGTTTATCTTCAAAACTGACTTTTTATTATTCCCTGTACCTGCCAAAGGGGTTCTCAAAACAAGCTGTTGGATTCGAAAGGGCAAAGGACTTTTTTTGTGCTTAGGCTGCACTATTCTGGCCCAAGATATTGCGATAAGACAAGGCTACTAGCCTCCACAGAGCCATGCAGCACTGGGACCACTGGATGGGGAAGACGCCCACCCTATGTAGCCTCTAGGTCCCCGGGGGCCATAGGCCTTCTCTCCATGCACAGGAAGGGGTGACAACTTCCCCACTGATATAGCCTCCACTTGAAGATAGATGTTTAACTTCTCAGATCTCTCACATGCCCTTAACCCAGCCCAAGCTCCTGACATCCACAGGGAGTGTGCCTATCCAAGTCTGGGATCTCAGTCTCAACCTAGGCTGTCTGGCTGTGTGCTGTTCTCTGTATGTGAAGATGGAAGTGTGCAGATGAATGGAGGAAGTGCTGGAAATGGATGAAATCACCCAGAGAAAGAAAATACAGAATGAGAAGATCAGGCTCAGGGGGCAACCCTGGGGAACATCAACCTATAAGCGACCGAGAAAAGAAGAGGAGCCGGCAAAGGATACCAAGAAGGAGCAAGCAGAGAGGGAATCAAACTGGTGACCTTGGTCTCGTTGTTAACATGATCTCCATGTACTGTATGCAGTATCCAACTCATAGCATGTGTGAAATCATATAAGACATTTCCAAAGAAATGAGGGCAGTGAGGGAAATAGGATTCTAGAGATTACGGAAAAGTATGGTCAATATATGCTACAAGGGTCCTGTTGAAGGTAGGGAATTTTAGAAATCCAATGTCTGTTTCAGCTTTCTTATCCACAAGAACATCTGATATTGCATCACATGCAACCTTGGTGCTAAAGCAGTGATTAAACAATTAACATTCCATATAATCCTCAGCTGAATAATCGCTCCATTTTCAGAAGTATATTTGAAAGGCCTATTTAATAGATAGAGATGGGTAGAAATCACTTTTATTCCCTGAAAATCCCTAGGTTTGTCCATTTTAATGGCACAAATTACTCTTCAGCCAAGGCCAGAATAAACTCTGGATAGAGTGGTCTCCTTTGACAGTGGTGTATGACCAACCATTTGGGTAGCAGCCAAACCCAGTCTCCCTCCTGTTCAGTCCCTTAATTCAAAACAAAGAGATTTCATCATGCTGAGGGCCCAGTAAGAATTTAATGCAAGCTTTAGGGGCACTGGGTGGCTCAGTCGGTTAAGTGTCTGCCTTCAGCTCAGGTCATGTTCCCAGGGTCCTGGGATGGAGTCCCACATCACAACAGGCTCCCTGCTAAGCAGGGAGCCTGCTTCTCCCTCTCCCTCTGCCTGCCACTCTGCCTAGTTTGTGATCCCCCCTCTCTCTGTCAAATAAATAAATAAAATCGTAAACAAAGAATTTAATGCAAGCTTTAAATACTTACAGAGTTGTTCTGGCCCCTCAAACAGGTCTCTTTACCTCTTGGGTCAGATGATGGCCTAATGAACACTAATACCTGGCTATCTTCAAGGATCGGATCCAGCAAGGGGGAAGATGACACCATTTCATTTCCCATGCTAAATGCCTTTGTTTTATACCGTCTCATTTCCTCATTTCATGAATTTGGATGTTGCTTCCTTCCCTCACACAAAGAGAATTCTATAAGAACTTTTCCCTTTTTGTCTTAGCTACCAGGAAGCTCAAAGTTCAACTGACTGAACTTTCCTTGAGAGCTTACTGGACTTCCACTGAAAGTTCATTGAGCTTCCACTGAAACTGAGCCCTACAGCATCAGAACCTTGCCTTGAGATGTCAAAGAGACCAGGATAATATCTCAAAGTCCTGACAAATAATTCACTCTCTCCAGGTCAACTGTAATCAAGACTCAAGAACCTTATGACTCATTTGCTTGCAAGCAAGCTAGTCACATTCCTGGTCCTGTTGAGCAGTAAATAAAAGGGACGTGCTCATCTTTTCTTCAGTGGAGAGAACCTTGGTTAGGTTTGAATGTCTCTTCATTTATTTCTACTATTATAATGATCTGGGTTTCCAATGCATGCTAAGATTTTTTTTCCCCATCTCTAGGTTTTAAAATATGTTTGAAATTAGGAAAACTTCTAAACTGGCCAATGTCTAAAACTGTGCCTACATAAATAAAATTAGAGGAAAATTAAAAGTTCTCTGAATACATCTAGAAAATCAACCTCCTACCATATAGGGTATACTACAGTAATTTCTTTTCCTGCATAAAGCTATGAGCTTTTAAAGGTCAGAGACCACCTTTTGTTCACCTTTATATCCTCAGGACTGAGCACCGTTAGGTGCATATCAGATACTCAAAAAATTGTTGCTGACATGCATAGAATCCAAATATCATTCATACCCTACCTATATCAAAATAAAGGCTTTGCAATAGCTTGGACTAAAAGGTACATAAGTAGAAAAGCAAAAGTCAGGCTGACTTGGTTACCACGATTGAACATTAAATTGAACTTTGAGCTTCCTGGTAGCTAAGGCAAAAAGGAAAAACTCATAGTTTACTGACTTCTCTTTGTCTGATGGAAGGAAGCATATCTTAATTTACTAAGTAAGACAAATGGTTGCCAGATACTAAAATGTAAAAAGGAATTCTTCTCATTTGTTCAGTTATAAGAACCTTTGAACATGGGGCACCTGGGTGGCTCAGTCGGTTAAGCATCCGACTCTTGGTTTTGGCTCAGGTCATGATCTCATGGGTCGTGAGCTTGAGCCCCATGTGGGGCTCCTCGTTCAGTGTGGAGTCTCCTTGAGATTGTCTCCCTCTCCCTCTGCCCCTCCCTCTGCCCATCCCCCTGCTCTCCTCTCTCTCTCTCAAATAAATAAATCTTTTTAAAAAAGAACCTTTTAACAATAAAACAATTTTTCAGCACCAATGTTACAGAAGATGCAAAGATGTTCTTCATGTGGCTTTTTCTTATGATGACTAAAAAAAGAGCATTACATTAAAGTCTAACGCAGTGAAGGCGTATCTATACGTGGAGTTTGGGGGCTAAGCTAATAGCTCCAGGTGTGGGGTTTTCCTGTGCACAAAAGACACAGGGCCAGAGCTGGGATAACTTGGAGGAATGAAGGGGTGTCAACTCCCTTCGACTAGCTTCCTCACAGAGCAATGGTCTCAGAGGGACTTGTGAGCGGAACTGCACAGCTGACAGTTCAAGGTTGAGTTCACTGGCGACACTTTCTGAGTTGCTGATTGAAGGAAGATCCATATGCTTTGCATAACAGACGTGCTGTGGCTACAAGTAGGAATTACCATGGTCATGCTTAAGACACATACTGGTAAATTCAAAACAGTCACAAGGCAGGGTTAGGCACGGAGGACACACAGACACATGGCCTCAAAAAGTCCACCATTTAACAATCTCCAAATAAATTAGCAGCACAGTCCGGATCGCCTGAGTCGCCTCTCTGCCTTTCTACCACCGGACCTGGATAACTGTCAACCAGTTTTTAAATTTCTCAAGATGTAGATATGAGAGCCACTGGATAGAAAACCCAATGGGGCCTGAAATGCATTTCTGCACGCCTACACAATGCACTCTCATGCACCACAGCAACTTCTGATTCACACCGAATGTTCTTTTGCACCCTCCAGAGTCTTAGTAATCCTATTAAGGAGCAAGGTATTCTTGGCAGTCTTTTTTTTTTTTTTTTTTTCTTGGCAGTCTTGATTGGACATTATAAACATGGCAAAAATGAAACTTAGCCATTTCAATCAATTATGGGCTTCTTTCAATTGGCCAATTCTTTACTTCCCATTCTAGATAATTGGTTGATTCTTAAAGGTAACCTCTGCAGCTCCTACTTTCTAAATAATCACAATTTCTCCATCATCAAGGAAATGCATTTTCCAAGTATTTTCAGCCATAAATTATATGTCTGGTTTGTGGCTCATGACTAACAGCACGCCTTCATTTAAGCTTTTTGCCTCTCATTACTCTAAGAAACGCAAAGTTGCCTCAGTTTGCTTCCAGTGCTATCTACAAATCAGGAGTAGGAGTTCATTGCAAGACTAATGCGCTAGGAGACAATTGTACCATCATATTTCTTTTTAATAAAAAGTAGCAAAATAATTTAAGTTTCGAGGCTCATTTTTTCCCTTTATTTCATTGTGACTAATGTATGTGATTTAGTAATTCCTTCTTTTCCTAATTGTAATGTTTTTACAGTTAATCTCTCTAAGCTGTAAGTTGCTATTTCTTTCTTTAATTATAATAACGATAATATCTCAAACTTGTACAGCACTTTCCAGATTTCAAAGCAAGGTCTCCCGGCTTGTTTGACTTGATCCTTACAACAACCATGTGAGTCAGCAGAGCAGCTCTGATCTCAGTCTGGCTTCTACCTCCCCAACCCAAGTGACCTTGGGTAAGCCACTTAATCCCTCTGTGCCTCGTTTTCCTCATTCTCGTACAGTGCAAAGAGCTATAAAATGTCAGTTGCTGTTGTTGCCCTATTATTATTATCAGGGATTACTTCAAATCAGGTATTATTATTCACTTCTGAAAGGAGGAAACTATAGGTCAGAGAAATGAAGTTTCTTCACCAAAGTCACACAGGAGGTAGGTCAGCTTATCAAAGGTCTTCTGACCTCCTGCGGGAGGAGAAACAGCTTCCTGTTACAGGTACTGAACCAGAGAACTAGGTTCTAGATTCACCACTGGCACAGATATGAAGCTGCAGAGAAGCCACTTCACCTCTCTGAGCCTCAAATTCTTCGTGGGCAACATGAGGAAAACGAGTACTCCAGTTGTCGTAAGGACTAAACAGGCACATAGAAAGCCCTGGCATGCATGTGCCTGGCATTCAGCAGGCACTTGCTACACACCAGTTCCTCAACCCGCCCAGTCTTTCCACACTAGCCTAGACATGTCAAACAGCTTCACATTTTTCAAGTGCTTTTGAAGACATCCTTCTCAACACCATAGCACAAAGTCAGATTTGAAAGTTATAAGCAACAGAAGCAGCCTCACAGAGAAGTTCCCCATCACCAACCAAATGTAGGGGTGGTCAACATTCTTTCCATTCTGGGAATGGTAGGGGTGAGGCAACGAATGGGAAGAAACCAGCCAGGATGATGAGAGATCACCATTTCTTCTAACTGCCAAGAAAGGGCAGTGGGTCTTAGGGACCGATGCTCATTGGCTACTTCACAAACTACCAACACTACTGGATAACTGATCAGGCCACATTTTAGGCTTTAGGGTGGCAAGAAGTTTCCTGAAAGTCCTGATCCACCACCAGGAGTTTTGATCTTTAATTTGATAAGCATTCCCACCACAACCCTAAGGAAGGGTTGGGGTATGTCCTTGTCTCTACCAGTGGACCATGGGCCAGCTCTAAAATTCCCACTGCCAATGGTGTGTCCAGATACTCCAAGGGTGTCCACACCAGTCCAGGTCTAGGGAGCTGATGAAAGTGAACATCAGTTCTAGTATCATAATATGGGGGAGGGGGAAGGAAAGGCAAACTCTCCAGTGATCTCCCAGGGGATCCTGACCACGGACACAGCATAAGATGGCAGCTGGTCACCAAAGCAATGGTGAAAGAAAGAGAACCACTAGGTCATCAACTGTTAGCTTTATTCCTCTCCTATACAGTCTTGACTGAAGAACAACAGCTCTTCCCCATCAAGAAACATAAAGGCAACTGGCAACTAATCACACAATAAGCCTGGCCCTGAGCTAGACGAAAGTTCCCACCTCGCATCTCTACCTGATACACCCTTGTCATAGCAAGACAGATGACTTCTGAAACCTTCTGGCAATGTTGATCACAGGTTTTTTTAATTGCCTGCTCAAAAACACACTGCTGATATCTAAAAATAAATATGCATCTATATTGCAGGCCTTGTTAACAAGAGATGGCATTTACCTTAAAGGTACAAGACCATTAATTCAACATGACCTAAAGTTATAAAGAGGGGATAAACCAAGGGTTCTACACCTCATCCTGGTAATAGCATTGAGCATGGAGTAGAGTTTGAACTTTAAGAATGACTCTTTGAGTTAAGCTCCATTTACTTACGGAGTCCAGGCAGTTTACTTCCCACAATGAGCACCACCATCAACAAATAAAACAACTCTCCCTAAGGCCACTGATTCCACCCCCCCCCCTTAACTACCAAATCCAACAGCCACTTTCCAGTCCTGACCTTTCCTGCCCTCTCGAACACAAATAACTATCAATGCCCTCCTCCATGAAACCCTGTATCCCCTTGATTTCTATTAAATGTTTCTCTCCTAGTTCTCTTCCTACCTCTGTGATCATTCACTCCTTTGTTGGTTCCTTTCCTGGCGCCTACTTTGCCACCTGCTTAAATGTTGCTGCTCCCCAAGATTCTCTCTTTGTCCTTCTTACTCAGTAATCTGACGGCTTCCACTGCCACCTCCCTGCTCACACCTAACTCTCTCTCTTAAGCGCTCTCATTAGCTCCAGATTCCTACACCCAATGCCTACCGGATAGGTCTCTCTTCATATCCCACTGGCATCTCAAACCAAATGTGCTCAAAACAGAATTTTTTTTTTTCTTTGCAAGCACCAACCCTGTTTCCTCCTGAACAACCTGTTAACGAGACTGCCATCTTCTCAAGTCAAAAATACGGGACTCATTCACTCCTGTCCCACCTTTTCCACAGCCAGTCAGACACCCAGTCTCATCATGTCAACTTCCTTGCGCTGCCTTAAATCCTCCCTGCCATGAACTCCCCTTAGCTAACTACAAAAGCTTCTTTATCTGCCTTCTCCTTTGCCTCACCTCCAACCAACTCACCACATTGCCAGCATCATCTTCAAAATTCTGTCTGTCCTGGCCACGCCCTTACTTGAAAGCTTGCAGAGACTTCTCTTCGTGTACGGAATTGTGTCCAAACTCCTTGGCACGAGGTACCCAGTCTCCCCTAACCTCTCCCCTGCCTACCTCTGTGACAGCTGCCCTGCACTCGTGCCTTCCGTCACTCGTGATGAGGTCTTACTCCTCTTTGTGCATTCGTCAGTGACTAGCACGTAGTGGGCCTTCAACAAATGTTCGCCAAACTCATCATATCACGTGCTCAAAGGCAGTATGTAAATTAAGTCAATTGAGATAGGAGAAATCCTTTTTTAAGGACTATACTATTATTGACAAATTGGAAAGTAGTAGTTGAGGTGACCTAACTCTCTCGGTCAGACTTACCGAACTCGGAAGGCACACGAGTCTCAGTCAAGAGCTGCTCACTTATCATGAACAAGGCAGCAAGACTCTGGGGCTCAGTGGTCACCGAGCCAAACAGCTTCCTCTCTACCCCAAAGTGGTATTTGTGCCGATGCTGTCCTTTCCTTTTCCAAGTCATTGTCCCCTAATTGGTGCCCTTCTAAAAGCACGACTCTCAGAAATTTCCCTCTATTGTTGTTTTAACTCTTACATCATTTTGTTTCATTATGGAAAATTACACTGCTAGTAAATTTCAGTAAACACCAACCAGCTGCCAGCAATTCCCCAAGATTCTTCCCCCGAGCCCCACCCCGAATAGAAAGTTCAGAGGCAGTCACTGTGAAATCAGTACTTGCAGACAGAGCAGTAGGAGTGTTACTGGAGCTACAAACTAGCTAGAACACCACCAGGCAATCAACCTGGCTACACTACCTACCCCCCCCCCGCCCCCAGCTGAGGCAATCTCCTCATCCAGGATGATTAACCACCAGGAAAAAATGATTGGCTTCTCCCTTTCTCCTAGAACAAGGATTTTCAAAGATCACTCAAACCACTCCACACTGCTAACAACCTAACATGGGAAAGGAAAGCGGTGGCCTTGCTTGCAGGGGATGGCACTGATCGGGAGAGAAAGAGACACAGCCATTGACCTTCTGATGAAGTCTTCAGGGGCTGCCTTGCCAACAGCCAAGGGGGGGAAACGCGTCAAGGGCCATTGCTTGCTCCAGGAAGTGCTGGGCCAGAGAGAACTCCTTAGAGATAGGAAGTCTCACTAGTCCCGTTGAAATCTGACCGTCCTCCCCAAAGAAGACAGGATTGGTCTCTGAAGACTTCTTCAGAAAGCTGCAATTGCCCCACATACAGTGTATGTATAGATTTCATTTGTCAAATATATTCTCCTGGAAATGATTTGGGTGCTTTAAAAATAGATTAAATGTTGATTAATGTGTTCAAAAACGTAACAAGCAACCATTTTCCAGAAAGATAAATTACATACATATTCAGCTACCTTGTAGGGCTCCCCAAAAAGATCAAAGCCTGAAGAAAAGAGATCGTCTTCTTGCTGGACTTCTTGATTCCTCCGCTCCCATTCCCTTTTTTTAAGTGCACTACGGTCTTGTTCATAGTGACTGATGGGAAAAGAAAAAAAAAGGAGAAAGAGATTAATTAGTCATGTCATTCAGATCTCCCTTGTTATCACTAAGAAGAAAAACAATACAAGCCAAGGCTACCCAAACGGATACACCGAAGAGGGAGCAGAGAAACCTTTTCTTGACTCCCAAGGGGTTTAAGATCCTGACCAGTTCTTTGGAATACAGAAGAACATGGAAAGGTGCTTATTAGAAACCATACTCATGCCCACTTAAATGTTCCAGGATCCTCTTCCCTTGTCCGTGCTTGAGTACCACAGGCAATTACGGGCTCCCCAAGAGTCAGTCCACTGTGCAGAAAAGTACTGAATTCAAGTTGCTTTGTGTTGCCAACTGCTTAGGGCTCAGAATTCACAGATGTCACACAAAGTCCTAAAGGAAAGGAATTAACCAAGATGTCGCAGACCAACTGTAAGTCTGTCCTGAGCCCACAGCCAGAGTTAGCCTGTTGTAACAAAATCACAGGAGAGTTTACCGACATTTTTGGAAGTCTACAAAACACCGAACCGCTCATTCGCTCACACTCCTTTTTTGTGGTGGTGGTGGTGTCTTTGCTCTTCTCATAGTCTGTGTCATGGGAGACTGACAGCCTCTTTAGGAAACTCTTCACAAAGAAAGGTGTCTGGCTTGAATGGCAAACAGCTAACAATGAAAAGTGTCAAAAGCCTCGAATGAGCTTAAGGCACACATGTTTTAGAAACGCTGTGTAGCTCTGTGACTCATCGCGTTTCAGGCTCTCCCATTGGCGGATCAGTACAGAAGCCTCCAGGCAATATCTAACGTATACTCCGGACCCTGGGATTTTATAGAATGAAATGCTTCCTGACGAAGAATCAGGCAAGAATGTGCGTATTACCTTATAATCTGTAAGTCTCAAAAGTGGTGGATTTTATTTTGTCCATTGGGTTTTCTTTTCCCCTGCTTTTGATCGAAATCTTACCTGAAGTGAGCACATATATGCAAGGCAAATTTAAATTATATAAACGTATGTAAAATGCCTAGCAGGTACATGTTAATACTGCCATGTTACGACTTAATTAGATAATTGGCATGCAAATGAACATAATAGCTAAAGGAATTACAAGAGATACACTGATAAAAGAGTATATAGTCAACAGGTTTTGAATACATCCCAGAACTCAATGCCTATCCTTGGTCGCCTAGTTTGCTCATGAGTACCGTAACTTTTAATTTACAAAATAAGAGCCCAGAGCATGAAATATCCATGGCAGCTTAACTAGATATTGATATACATGGAGTGTGAGATGCCACTACACTTAATCATTCCCCTTTCTCCACAGGAATCCTTGAACTGACAGATTCAAAGTGACTTTGATAGCCTTATCTTCTGAATCAACACCACTTCATTTCTCCGATTTAAAAAAAGTGGCGACATTTAAAGGATGTTCAGACGTGCATTATGCTTTCACGATACAAACAATGCCAGACACGGAGGAGCTCGCTGGGCCAGGCACGAGGGCGCTCAGCGAATGTTATCACCATCTGGGGAAAACAAAGAAGCTCCAGAGCACTACACAAAGCCCAGACCCCACATCTGGGCCCCGTCTGGTCCAAAAAGATGCCAAGTCCAGATCCTGGAAGGCAGCCTATCCTTCGGAGCCTCAGACACCATCCGCAGGGGTGACACTTGCTCGCATCATCTCGCCGGTTGCAGGCTGAGATCAGAACCCCACACGGTTGCCGTGGGTCACAACCTCTTTATGTTGGAGGCCGACGCGCGACCAAGCAGACACAGTCACATCTTCAGACCGTGCACACGGAGCACAAGATCAGGCTTGAGCACCATGCACTGGCCGTGCGTGGCCGTGTGTCACCCAAGCCCATCTTCGGTGTGTCCACGTGCAAGAAAGAGAAGGGCGCCAGGGGTGGAGACGGACCAACAGTTTAAAGCAATATTTAGTGGGGGTGCCAGGAAGGTTTGTTGCAAAGGAAGACACTTCATTTCTTTGCCTGCCACAGCAGATGAGTCTCCACACAAAAACAAGAGCCCAGCTCTCGTGCTTCTGAGGAATGCGAGCAAGATGTCAGTTCTCTAGCTATCTGTTCATTCGGTGCACCTGACAGCCCGGAACGACAGACCCATAGATCACATTTAATTCTCCCATGAAGAGAACCAAAGTACTTTGGTCTCTTGGCTTTGCAAACTACCTTCCTTCTCCTCCGAGGGAAAGATATAATTAAAACCCTGAAGGAAGAGAAGGAGGAGGAGAAGAAAAGGAAATGCGTTTCAACTTGCATGACACCGCGCGGCCAGCAGCCAGGGCACTTTGGGCACTTTCGACCTGGGCTTAATTTGTGAGGAGGCTCTTGTCTCCATTTTGCATCAGTTCATTAGCTACCAAATTCCAGATGAAAATGTGAATAGCAGACTGAGTGTGCACATGGGTGTTATCTGTTGCAAACAAACTGCCTGCTGCATTTTTTAACACGTGTAACAAAGAATAGTTAATTCTCATATCTCTGGCGAGAATGAATTGAATCTCCACAGAGTACCACTGCTCTTGGAAGGCAACCAAATCACTCCAAATTCTTCCTCTTTCGCTCAGCATGGCGTTGTATTGAAAGCTTCACAGGGCAAGGTATAATGGGGAATGAACTACATGGTGATGAGGCTTTCACAGTGTAGAACGTCACCGATTTCTGACTGAAACCAAAATTATAATTATGAGGACCTCTTTATCTACTCAAAGTTATGATTCAGGCAGGTTGCATTTGAACCTGTGAGCCCCGCGGGGGCCACAGGAAAGCATATGGCTGTCCCCCGATGATGGGATGGACCTTGTACACTCCTGGGCTTGTTTTCCAGAGAAAGGAAGGGCTCCACAGCCCATGCAGAAAGGCTCAGGCCAGAAATGTGAATTAATCACCATATGATTGGGCTAAACAATTCAAATTTATTCACACTGATGGAGACTGGGGGAATTGGTCCTATCAGTGTGAAAACCCACTTCCCTGTTGGAAGATGGAGCCAAAAAGCTCAATTGGAGGCCTCTCTCCCTCATAGCAAGTTAGGACGTTTTTCCAGCTTTTTTTTCTCCCAGATAGAATACAATTTGTCACATTACGGTGCCATCAGAACCACCAACCGACCCACTCACAACTCACTTTACTCTTAATTAACCAAAGGCCTCTGATTTCTCTCTCTCTCTCTCTGCAGCTTATCTCTTGGAATCCCCACTTCCCCGGCCACTGTGCTAGCTGACAGGAAAGGGACAGAAAGAATGAGTTGCATGTATCTACTCTGTTACTCACTCCGATGCAAGGTGTGATGGTGAGAAGCTTCCCTCTAGAATGGGGCTTTTCTGTTAGCTCTGATTTCTTCGCCCACCGGTCCATCCCCCTGGCCTCAGAACCCGAGAAACTGCCCTCATTAACACAGGAGGAAACTACGGCACTCCTGAGGAGGAGAGTTGGGCCAAGCCCTCAACGAGGGAAAGGCAAAGGAAGATGTGAACCTGTGTCTCTTCCGCCTTCAAGGTCAAGTGATTTCTCCTCATCTTCTCCTTCTCTCAGATACTCTCCTAACCTTGCACTTCAACAGGATCATGTACACACGTAACTCCCGTCTTCATCACTAGAAGCCACAGGTGCATCACTAGGATGATAAAACCCAGAGCACCTGTAGATTCACAGAGATCGAGAAAGTTCAATTATGCCATCTTCATTAGCTCCCGGTGGTAGCGCGCTCAGGCTGACGACGCACGCTCGTCTTTTAGAACAAAGACTGGCCGAGCCGGAAGAGATGTTGGCAGGCATGCAGTTCTGGTCTCTTCGTTTTCCAGATGAGGAAATTGAGTTCAAAGAGATAATGGGCCTCGCGGCAGGTTCGTGGCAGCACTGGGAGGTGAGAACCCAGGTTTTCCAGTGCCCAGACTCGCCTCCTCCTAACACCCCATGGTCTGTGCCTTCTGCAGCCCACGCTTCCATCACACTCGAGAATAAATATCAGTCCCACTGGTGCTCTGTTGGTCAACTTTCCTTAGGACTGTATTTGATTAGAGATTGCATTTAATTTGGATTCGAGTACAGAAAAACCATTAGTTTCTTTACACCGAACGTACAGACCCTAAAAGGATCATAAAAATTAACTACATCTGCAGGTAGAAGCTGACGGGGGGTGGGGAGAGTAAAAACCAGTTGAAGTCCATTTGGTCTGTGTATTTCATGAAGTTTAATAATCATCGTTTACCTCATTTGGTGATTTTACAAAGCTTGTTGGGGAAACATTAAAAAAACACTGCTATCTTAAAATGACAAGTTTGTTCAAAAATACTAATACAGGATTTACTGTAGTAACAACATACATGAAGGTAAATAATTCAATCTCATTTTCTAATCTAACTGGCATGAAAATACCTTTATTTTGGCTAATATCTTTGTAAAGGCATAAAAAATACATATTTAATTCACCCAAGGGACAAACATAAGCTATAACTCACTCCTTATGGCTCTCCTGAATGAATTTCTGCCTTCTATAAAATTTGTATTTATACTTGCTACATGTTCCAAAGTTCCAAGTGGTACTTTTTTTTTTTTTTTTTTGTCAATAGCTAGCCCTGTTTTGAATTTGACATTGACCTAATCTTTACACAGCTTCCACTAGTTAAAAAACTGCTACTGGGGCGCCTGGGTGGCTCAGTCGTTAAGCGTCTGCCTTCGGCTCAGGTCATGATCCCAGGGTCCTGGGATCGAGTCCCACATCGGGCTCCCTGCTCGGCCAGGAGCCTGCTTCTCCCTCTCCCACTCCCCCTGCTTGTGTTCTCTCTCTAGCTGTCTCTCTCTCTCTCTGTCATATAAAATAAAATCTTTAAAAAAAAAAAAACTACTGAATACCCTCAAAATCACCCCCCAAGTTATGTACTTATTTTATCTATTAATATCCATGAGCACTTAAATGTAAAGTGCTGGGGGCGCCTGGGTGGCTCAGTTGGTTACGCACCTCCCTTTGGCTCAGGTCA